ATTTTGGATCTGGAACGGCGTTTGCGTTTTGCTTTTTTCTGGGTTTCTCTTCAATCGGTTTTTGATTTTCTTACTGTGGGGTTTGAGTTGCTTCTTTGACCGGGGATTTGAGTTGCTTCTTTGGTTGAGGACGGTGAAGATTGTATCTAAAGGTCTCGTTCGTCGTAACTGGCATCTGTTTGCCTTGCCGACCATCCTGATATATCACCACCCATATTCCGAGTCCGATGCCAACAATCATCAGCTCCTATCAAGACTTTCATTTTCTTTTTATCTTTAGGTGTTTGATTTGTTACTATGGTTTCTGGCCAATGATTAAATCAAAAAAATAGACAAGCATATGTCCGAATCCATCTATGTGGATAAGCCTAATCTTCTCTATGAGGTCGACCACATCTTCTAGCTTTACCGTTCCCTTTTATTTTCTTATCTTTTCCTTGGGTCTTGTGATTTTCATTCCTTTGAGGCCGAAGATGAAATCTGTGGATGTTATATCTGTATGATATCATGTCTGATTACAAAATCATTACTGCCTTCCTTCTGAGGCCTCTGTTTATTGGATCTTGTTATTTTGCATGTTTACTTCGTCAAAATCTGTCGATCTCAGTGGTTTGGTGCCATTTTGGTAAGGTCGGGTGATGATTTTAAGTGCATAGTTCAGATGATCAACCCTCGTGGTTTTGATTACCTTGAATAATTAGTCTTTCGCTCCTATCTGACGACCTTATCAACGGCCAAGCATTTTCGTTGTCAGCTGTTCCTGACTGTAGTGGTTCTCTTTTATTTTCTGGTGGTTAACATTTATGTTTTTGGCGATTCATGGTATTAGACATTTACTTTGTTTTAAGTGTTGGCAGTTCCAGATAATTGATTTCGCAGTTTTTGCACGCATGAAAGTATTGATTCAAAGAAGTTTGAGATGCAAGTATGGAAGATAGAGTTGATCGGTGGTCTTCAATGTTGTGTTGGAACAGTAAAGAGGCCCCGACGCACATGAATGCTCTGTAGGAACAGCAAAGAGGCGCCGCACATGTAAAGAGGCCCCGAGTTCTGATCCTGAATACTCGGGCTCCTAACCTTGGTGTGCGATAGTTTATCTCCGGTGATTCACGCTTCTTTGAGAGCTCTGATACTCCCCATCCTGCTCTCCCTGTGATTTACCGCACATATTCTTCCATGATTTTTTTTCCAAATCTTTTTACGTTACCTGGTTTTGTATGTATGTGTCAATGAACGTCTGCTGCACACATGTTTTGCTTTTCTTCTCTGTGATTATACCGATGCTGTCTATGGACCAAATGTGTCACCGCGCAATCACAGACAAAACCAAATAATCTTTTAACAATTTGATACAATTGGTACACCTGTCCCAAATGGCAGCCTGCAAGTTTCTGATGTGATACAATTGCTACACCTGTCCCAAAAATCACTACACCTGTCCTAAATCATGCACCTATAATCCAAAACTGCTAAACTAAAATGGTTCAAATGTTGAAGAAATCAGACTTCATTGATTTAGGGAGCCAAACAACAAAAGGGTTCAAAAGTAAGAAATTAGACTCCATTGATTTAGGGAGTTTAAAGTACTTTGTACAAAAGTAGTGGATACATATTAGTTTTTGGTAAGTTAGACGACATTGATAGTTTAAGCGAGTCAATAGGGGAACAACTATTTTTTTATATTTTTTTTTGTGGAAAAAAAATTATTTTCATGTACTTAAAAGCCCTAAAATAGTTTTAATCTTAGAAAAAAATTGTTGCAGAAAATTATGGAACAAGTTTCATATTTTTTTTAAAAATTATGCTGCCTCAAAAGTTGATGGTGTCTAAAGTTGCATAAATGGAGGAAAAGTGTCCTAGTGGTATTTTCTTCTGTTTTTTTATCTTGATCTTGATTGATATATATTGATCATGTATTCAATCTGTGCAGGATATGCCTGCCGATTGTGCGGCCGGGTACGGTCCGGGAGCGCGCGTCGCTGTTGCTGTGCCTCCGTGGTCCAGCCCCAGTCCTGAGCGCCTGCACTGCAGCCCGTGGAGATGGCGAGCCGCCCCATACCTTCTAATCACCAATTATGTATGTATTTTTTTAAAAAAAAAGTGAATATATTAATATCTTAGCTTCTGCATCGGCCCATACGGCCCATACATATAGCTGTTTTATTACAACACAAGCACTGCAATCTACACAATCTCAAAAACACAGTTTTGATCTAAGAAAAAAAATAGAGAAGTTTCCAAACATACATCTAGAGAGCAATTCTATTACATGTAAATACTTTCATTGCGGTTGTCTCAATATTCCTGCATCTTATTGTTATCATTTGACGATTCTCCTCCTTCTGTAGTAGGGATTAGGACCTAGACCAGCTGGTCCCCTCGAAGATAACATGCAAATAAGTAGTTCCCTCGAAGATAACATGCAAATAAGATGGTGCCACGGCCTTGTCAAAAATTATATTATTTTGGGTTAACCATATCGGGAATCTTAGATTTTAGTTTCCTATTAATCCTGTCTAACTAGCATGTAAACAAGCTGTGAATGCTAGTTGAAGGTATTAAATTAAAGGAAACATAAATAATTTGCCACACGAATTTAGCAAAATGACAATCGTAGAATAGATGTTGTATAAGACTCGTCATAAGAGCAGAAACAACATTTTCTATCTCCTTGCCACTGCTGGCTTGCTAAATTGTCCTTTGTTAAGATTACTCCCTTATACAAATACCACAAAAATACTTTGATTTTGAGAGGTAGTTTCAGTTTTCATATTAAAATGTTATAAGGTATAGCTTCAACTCCTAAAACGGCTCAGTACATGGATCTGTACATGGATTTGAATGAATACAATCCATTTTGATGTAGCCCCCATAAGACATAATCTCTCTAGTTTGTTAACTATACATCTGCAACCATGACGACCACCTTGTGCCATGCTTGTAAATTAACAGCTACCAGAGTTCTTCTGAAAGCTATATTTAACGGTGTCGTAGACAACACCTGCAGATGGGTTTTTCTTCCTAACAATATTGTTTTGGAGCTAGGCGACGGCTCTGAATACGCATCAACTACGATTGTTGCTGTCAAACAGGAAGTTTTGGAGCTTTTAAATGTTGAGAGACAACTAATTAGTTATCAATAGGAAAGATAAGTACAGTTAGGTAATAACTCTTTAGTAACTACGAACGCTATGTCTCACAGAACCTTGCTAAGCAAGGAAACAGCAAAATGACAAAAGTACTGGTTTTTTCTCCAGACTTGGTGTCGTCAAGTCAATTCTATTTTGGGAGGACTTATCCACCCAAAATCGTACTTTGGATCCGTCACAGGCTTAAACTGTTGTCAAGTCAACGTTTTAATTATAATTGATAGTAATACAAAAACAAAGTTTAGAAAAAAATAAAAAGTAATACTAGATAATAAGAGTATCTAGTGAGTGTAGTCCGTGTCACTTAGCCTTCTACGCAGTTTGGTTAGTCAACGTTTTAGGCTGCGTTCGGCTGACCAAGAAAATTCACTGTAGCGGCTGAAAAGCACTGTAGCGGCTGATATTTTGTGAAAAAATTGATAGTAAGAGCATCTACTTGTAAGTAAATACAAAAAGGGTCCATAGATATTCAAATAAATATTGCAAGCTGCCCATTAGATGGAGCAAGGTTTTAAGAAAAATACTTAACTAGTATGATTATTTTTTAACTAAAATATTTTTTCTATGAATCTTTCAAAAAAATTAGGAAAAACATTTAATAATTTTAAAAAATATTTAAAGTTCGATTTACCACCTAAACTATCAAAAAAGTTTGATTTACTCTCCTTGTTGATGCGAAGCTACGTCACATAAAACCCGTCACACAAAACCGTTGTCCAAGACTGTTCACGGTGCAAAAATAGTTTGTTTTAAAATAAAAGTTGTGGAAGGTTGAAAACCTGGTTTTATAAACAAAGAGGAAATCAAACTATCGCGACGTTTAGAGGGTGGGGGGTAAAAGTATGGTTCCGTCACACAAACCCCCCCAAAAATCACGTATACAACTAGGATGGCCATCTTGCTAGCTCCCTCCTTGGAATGCCTCCTGGAACCCCTCTTCCTTTGCTTAATGTCTTCTTTAATTATTGAAGCCACCTGCATTGGCGATACTTGAGCGTTATTGAAAATTCTTCGGTTTCTTTCCTTCCAAAGATTCCAGCATGTGTAGATCACCAAACCTTAGTAGCGATCTTCTCCCACACGGTGCCAAAATGGACAGGGTCTCTAGTGAACTGTGTGAACATCAAAGTGTTCCTAGGTTAGGATTTGACTCCAAACCACTTTGGCAAATGGGCAAAGTAGAGACTGATGAAGGCAAGTCTCCAACGGCCCATTGCATAAAGCACAATGATCTTGATGTGGCCACCCTCTTTTTTGTAAGTACCCTAAAGGTTTAGGGGGGTTAAAGCCTTCAAGGGTTGAATCTATTGCCATCAAGCCCATTCAAAATCATGTATAGCCCAAATCAACAGAGGACAATTGTACGTAGTATTTGTGTTTTATTTACTCCGCGTTCCATTTATCCAGAGCTCATATATTACGGTTACGGCTAGCTTAATTGTTCTGAGAAGTGCGTATATTTGAATTTGAACATTAAACACACTGAACAAAGTCTCTAATTCGAAAACGTGGACTACCAGTCTCGTCGGAAGTGGTAAAATATTCCGGTGGACGGGAAGTTGAGCTGCACCCATGCCAGTGGTTGAGCTGCGGTTGCTGCTGCCACGGCTCTCTCACTGCCTTCTGCTATTCCTTCGATCGATCTGGTCGCTTCCAACGTCTGCCCAACGCTTCTCACCTTCCGGCGCCTTCCCTCTCACAGGCACCCACCCGCCAGTCACAGCTACCACGCAGCTGCACGGCGTGCACCCACCTGTGACCTATATATCCTGCGGCGCTGGCTCACTTATCACGTGACCGCCTCGCCGCCGGCGCGCTGTTCCCGTGAACTAGCCGCGCTGTCCATCGTCGATGGAAAACTCGCTGCTCCATGGAGGCATCCAGCAACCAAACACTCAGCTGGCTACGGGTACGTGCCTTGCCCCGCTGCCGCCGGTAGCCGCGCCACAGCCGGAGCAGCATGCGTGCAGCGATACGACGTCCCTCGTCCCGGGCGCGGCGATGATGGGTTGCCTGCCGGCTGCCGTGGACTGGGCGTCGCTGCTTCTCCCGCGCGCGCCGGGGTCGTTGCATGTCGGGACGCCGCCGCCGCCGGTCGTCGCGAGCGAAGTCGAGAGCGGTGGTAATAGCGCTGTGACGGTGGCCGGGTGCAGTGCTAGTGCGACGACGGCGGGAGAGGGAGATACTAATAATAAGGCCGGAAAAGCAGGGAAGGGCGGCGGCGGGAGGGGGAAGAAGAAGGCGAGCCGGCCACGGTTCGCGTTCCAGACGCGGAGCGAGAACGACGTCCTCGACGACGGCTACCGGTGGAGGAAGTACGGGCAGAAGGCCGTCAAGAACAGCGCGTTTCCAAGGTCTCTTTGTTCGTTCGTCTCCATTGCTCATGCATGTGTAATGCTAGTTTTATATTTTAAATTGTTTGCTGTACGTGATGCATGATTGCACTACATTGGCGCTGCTTAAGAAAACTTGAAGGTCGATGCATGGAAATAATAATGCCATGTGTGCATGCATGCAGGAGCTACTACCGGTGCACGCACCACACGTGCGACGTGAAGAAGCAGGTGCAGCGGCTGGCCAAGGACACGAGCATCGTGGTGACCACGTACGAGGGCGTGCACAACCACCCGTGCGAGAAGCTCATGGAGGCACTCAGCCCCATCCTCAAGCAGCTCCAGCTCCTCTCGCAGCTCCAGTCTTGCACTAATCAACTCCTCTGAATATTCACATCTGATCTAGCCTGGCCGTCATCAGCGTGAACTAATGCAAATATACTGCTAAGTGTACAAAACAAACTGTTAATCGATCGATCGGCAGTGGTAACGTACAGAAGGAACAACTGCCTCCCTAAATTACACAGTAAGTACATATGTGTAGCTGATCTTATATAGATGCAATGCAGATCTGGACGTGATTCATGCATGTACAAACGTGTGTGGTAGGTACTAATGAAACAACAGAAATGTATGTGCGTGGATCATCATCCTTTGTAATCAAGCTGTAATTTACTTGCGCAATTTAATCTCTCCGGCTATTGATAACCTTTTATTGGAAGTTCTAGGATGATGTCAAGATGACAGATTATATCGTTGATGGAGATGTATATGTGATGAAGAATGGTCCCTTCGACTCTCTTTGTACAGACAACAACAACCAATCCACCAGAACAAGTAAAAAAAGAGAACCCTGTTATATAATAGCTGGTTTGACTATCAAGAATATAGATGTAAGAATGTGGAGAACAAATTTAGAGAGAAAGAAAATGAGCTGTTCTCTTATCTCTTATCATCTTTCCAATACATAAGCCCTCCCATATATAGCCATACATGTGAGATGATATTACAAGAATTGATGCTAGGAGAGTTACACCATCGAAGTAGAAGGTTGTAACTTCGATGGTATAGGGGTCATGGACATCCACATTAATATTTCATAACACTCACCCTTGTATGTCCATTAATAGGTGAACTGCATGGCCCGTTAAAAACATTGCCAAGAAAAAACCCAGTGGAAACAAAACCATGGCCAAGAAAAAAAAGAGTACACACATATTCACTTCCCCTGATGGCACATCACTTGATGTCTTTCAGCCATCACGATCCAATACCATGTGCCAATTTCTTGAATATTGAAGTAGGAAGTACCTTTGTGAACAAGTCTGCTAGATTCTCACTTGAACGAATTTGTTGGACTGTTATAATACCATCCTTTTAAAGATCATGAGTGAATAAAAAGTTAGATCTTGCTAATAAATTAATAGCAAATCCAATATCAGGTCATGTATGAGTAGATAGATACATTAGTGCTCCTATAGCACTTAGATACGGCACCTCAGGACCAAGAATTTCACTATCACATTTCGGAGGTCGAAAATGATCTTTGGTTACATCAAGGGATCTAACAACCATTGGGGTACTCAATGGATGCGCTTTATCCATGTAAACTTGCTTTAGTATTTTATCTGTGTAAGTCGCTTGATGCAAAAGAACTCCATCTTTAAGATGTTCTATTTGTAAACCAAGGCAAAACTTTGTTTTCCCCATATCCTTCATTTTAAATTCTTTCTTCAAACAATCTTTCGCGCCAATGCTTCCTTAGTACCAATTAAGTTTAGACCATCAACATATACAACTATGATCATAAATTCAGATCCTGATCTTTTTATGAGTATACATGGTTTTTTATACCCTTCTTTTATCAAATACTCACTAAGACGATTATATCACATTCTTCCAATCCTATATAGAGATTTGTTCAATTTAATTAATTATTGTTCTCGTGAACCTGCTCCTGATAGTTTAAATCTTTCTGGTAGTTTTATATATATGTCTGAAAGGATCAAGATGCCCAAGAGGGGGGTGAATTTGGCTAATTCTAATTTTTTTACAATAATTAAGCCCTACACTTAGCCCATTTCACCCATTGTGTCTAGAATGTGTTTCTATTGTTCTGCCGTACAAAAGTTTTACACCCTAAGTTCCAATCCTACTCTAGCATGATAATTCTAGGAATGTAAAGACATGAAATGAATTGCTCAAATGTAAATGCTCAAAATAAAGAGAGAAAGGAACACGGCGATGTTTTTCCGATGTATCGGAGAGTCGTCACTCCCCACTAGTCCTCGTTGGAGCACCCACGCAAGGGTGTAGCTCCCCCTTGATCCACGCAAGGATCAAGTGCTCTCTATGGGCTGATTCTTTGACACTCCATCATAGTGAATCGTCCACAACCGCTCACAACATGACTTGGGTCATCCATAAGCTCCGTCGGATGATCACCAAGCTTCCAACCACCACCGAGCCGTCTAGGTGATGGCGATCACCAAGAGTAACAAGCACAAACTCTCACTTGACCAAGACAAGCCTAATGAGAAAGGTGGATGTACACTTGCTACTTCCTATGCACTAGTGAGGTCCTTAATCTTGGATTATCAACTTTCAATCACCACACTAGGCTCTTGCTCTCCCTTGCACTCCAAAGGCGTTTCACAGCTGAACAATTAGACAAGAGACCTCCCATGAACGAGTGGGATAAGTATTTATACCCCCTCATTCAAAACATAATGGTTGGAGGCCAACTCAGCAAGTTTCAGGGTGACCGAACGCGCCGGTCAGGGTTACCGGATGCTCCGATCAGTAGTACACGTCACTGTGTCAGAGAGAGCCATTAGCTCTGACCGAACTCTGACCTGCGTCCGGTCATCACCCACCGGACGCGTTCGGTCAGCAAAATGCCCCTATGGATGCTCTCTGATGTTGATCGGATGCAGGCACCCTAGCGTCCAGTCGTGTACTGTTTAGCGTCTGGTCAGTACATGACTGTAGCTGCTAATCAAATGAACTGACTGGACTCTTCAAGATGCGTCCAGTCACAACCAAACCAGCGTCTGGTCAGTCATTTGACCCTCCATTCACTTCCAATTCGAAATCCTTCGAGAATGAAGTTGACTTCTATCGATCTTAGGGCTATTCCTGAGCTACCTAGTGCTAAGTTTGACATGTGTGCACCACACCTAATCCATTAGACTCACCTAGGTCAAGCTACTAGTCCATACCGCCCTTAATAGTATGACCAAAGGAAAAACAAAGTCATAAACTACTCTAAATGTCTCTCTAACGCCAAATGATACTTAGAACTAGTCCGTCCTTAACCTTGTCGTCCATCATTTGAAAACCGAAACGATTTCCATCGACAGGGCATGACAACCATGATTGCCCAGTCAATTTCCATTACCATGACCTAACTCAAATTGCCTCTGTAAAACACACGTTAGTCATAGTAATCTTGTGTCGTCATTAATCACCAAAACCCAACTAGAGGCCTAGATGCTTTCAATCTCCCCCTTTTTGGTGATTGATGACAACACAACCTTGAGTATGTAATAGAGATGAGTGAGGTTTTCAACATGCTTGGTTCATATAAGCATTTGACAATAAAAACAAAGGAGTTAGGCATGCTTGTATGACCCAAGCCAACATGGTGTACTCAAAAGATATGAATTAAGCATGAGTACATGAAGTAAAGCTCATTTGAAACGGAGTAAAACATGGAAGCACAACAAATGAGTATAAACAAGTGACATGACATATATATATATCAATGTAGAGAGCACACATGACACATAAGTCTCACCATCACATGTATATAATACAATGCATGAAAGTAAACATGAATGCACGAAGTATCACACACAAAAGACCAAAAGAAATGAATCGGGACCATCTCACATGCCCCCCTAGATCTAACATACTCGCTCATCTCACACGCTCCCCTTAGATCTAACATACTCGCTCCCTCTCCCCCTTTGACGACAAGCACCAAAACCTAAGGGTCAGATGGCGGGACAGGAGCAGTCGAGTCGGGCGTTGAGGTGCGATGAGAGATCTGGAACTGAGCTGCATCACCCTCTGACCCTGAGCTCTGAGCGGTCTGACCCTCTATTGCTGGAAGTGAAGGTGAAGTGGTCTGGGTCTGCTCAGTAACTGGCGTGGCCTGTGACTCTAGAGGTGTCACTGTAGGAAGTGGAGCCACATCTGCCGCTGTCGCTGAAGCCTCAAGTGTAGGAGTGACTATCTGAGGTGGCTCGGATGATGCGACAGACGACAGAATCATCTCAGTAGTCCCGGTAACTGGAGTAGCTGTGGTAGAGACAAGGACTCAGAACACTGGAGGTGTAGGCTGCCCTGTAAGCTCACTAAAGGTAGCATCAAGACTCTTGGAGACTGGGGTGTCCGTCACTAACGCCGAAGAAGTTTGAGTCAGAGTGAAGCCCATAACAATAGGAGTAAAGTGCAGACCCTGAGCTATCCTTGGTGAAGCAAACCACTGAGACACCTACTCTGTAGGTGAGGCAGACTGAGGAGCTCGTTGTCTCTAACTTAGAAACCCACTGGGTTGTACAGCTAGAGTCATTGGAGTGGTGGTGGTAGGCTAGCCTATCTGAAGTGTAGACTGCTGAGGAGCAACCCCAATAGCAGTGAATACATGCTTCATGAAGCCGAGTAACTACTGCTAAATCATAAGCTACTGATGCTGCATGGCCTGCTGCTACCGCTGAAACTCATCCTGTCGTGCCTGAACCTGAGCAAGTGCAGCTATGTTCTACTATGCCTGGCGTGACTTGTCCTGTCTCATCCACTCAAGTACAGCTAGAAGTGCTGGGTCAGTCTATGGCGGCTATGGTGGAGCTGAGCTGGAGCCACTGGCCTCTCTGTCGTGTGGTCGAGGAGCCATCTGCGGAATCGACTGATAGTCATCATTTGAGCTGTTAGTAGGGTCATTCTTGACCACATTTTCCTGCTGGGCATCTGGCTTCTCCTCCTCTATCTCTACAATGCCCCTGATGATCTCATCCTGCTGAGCTGCTGTCTCTGGTACATCTAGGCAATGGCTCGGCTAGCGAGGTGTCCTCGCACGACTATGACGTAGCATCTGGCTCATGTCATACCGTGGAAACTCAGTGGTAGCAGCTATCCACTCTACCATTGTCTCTAGGGACTTGTGTGGAACTACCTTTCGGAGTAGGAAAGTGATTCAATGAGCATAAGGTAGCTGACGGTGACCTCTGAAGCCCTCTGCTAGTGTGTCCTCCATTTCTAAAAGCATCACATCCCAAATATCAAAGACAGTCTGAGACACTAGGTAATGCACTAGCCACAGATGAATTTGAGTCAGGCCCTCGTGGTAGCCCATCCTTAGGAGCAGAGTCCTCCTCATAATA